TGGGTTGTCCTATGGATACCGTTTGTTGAGCGGCACTGGCAGTTGTCCCCATAATCCACAAATGGCTTGAAACAAAAGAGAAAAAACCCATTAAGTAGCTGTTTACCCATGATGGCACGATGACCAGGAGAGGAGAGGATTTTCATCCCAATACCTCAGCTATTTAACAGAAAATGATAGCAGGGCAGATTCACTACAGCTGGTCAGACTGAGCTCTGAAGAAAGGCCTGTGACCTGACATGTTCACTTCATTTTCTCTCCACAACTGCTGCCATAATGTCTGAGGATTTGCAGCATTTTCTGCTCTTATTTCTTATTTCCAGCATCTGGGGTATTTTTGCTTTTGGTAAACTGAGGGCCATCTACTCCATGAGGTGGATGTAAAAGATCCCATCGCACTATTTCAATAAAAAGCAGGGGAGTTGTGCCTAGTCCCCGGTCAATATTTAGCCTAAAACCAACATCATGCAATCATGATCTGCTCGTGATCACAATACTGTTTGTGGGAGTTTACCATGCACAAACTGGTTGCGTCCTTCCTGCATTGCAGCAGTGACTACACTTCAAAAGTGCTTCCTTGTCAGTAAAGCACTCTGGGCTGTCCAAGGGTCAGAAAAGGTGCTGTAAAATGCAAGTTTGACTTTCTTTTACTTCATAAGCATAAGACCATCAAGTGTTTGAATGTCATTTCTTTCTTCCACAGTCAAACAACCAGCTGGCACTTATTGTCTGAATTACCACATGAAGAATGTCTGTTTGGCTCACACTGAAAAATGTTCCACAGCATTTTGACCACAGGACAGAAAAGGGCTGTGTGCTACTTTAAAAAAATTGTTTTACAGCAGTAGCTTTTTTCTTACTGTTTATCTACAGAAGCTTAACTGGAAATGCATTAAAAACAGATTTCATTACTTTTTCTTTTTTACACAACCCAGTCTTCCTATAAAATCCCACATACATTTCTTACAGCTAACATATAACTACATTACTTCAAAACGGCTGTTGCGATCCTCAATTCTGCTGATCTCAGTGAAAGACTGATGAACACCAGTTCTTTGTTAATTCCAAGCCTGGAGTCTTAAAGAAGGGTTTACAATGATTTTCTATGCAAAGCACGCAAGTTAAACTTCAACATTCAGTTGACAGAATGAACGGAGAATAAAGCACTAATTAAAATAACTTCTATTGGGCACAAATGAGACACCCTAATGTTATTTTCTCATCCCCACTCTTCACATTTTCTCTCCTCAACTTGCTCCAGAAACACCACATTGCTCCCTTCAACACCTCACCCATGAATTGGCCCCCTTCTACCTCTTGAGCTTGAACACTGGGCCAAACTGAGCCCGATCTGACTTTTGCCTAATATTTGACTCAACATATTTTCAACAAAGGGGGTGTGGGGCAATTGTAAGTCAAAAATCTGAAGCTAGCTGAATCTCCCCCAAAGCTCGTTCAGCTGACTCAACTGTGGACAGGATGCAGCTCGTATCTAGAACCTCCTGTTCAATAGAGATTAGGAGTCTCCAGGAATTAAACACTAGTCTTCTGGCCATTGCTATAAGCAGCCTCAAAGAGTTCCTGGAGAAAAATAAGTGCCTAAAGCAAAAATGTACTTTTGTTTTCATTAACCACTTTATTCATTTGGAAAATATTGGAGATGGGAAGAAAGGTTGGTTGACCAAATAGAGTGATTGGAACATCATGTAATGAGAACTCCAGGAATACAGGGTCATAGAGTCATACAGCATGGAAACAGACCCTTTGGTCCAACCAGTCCATGCCAACCATGTTCCCAAACTAAACTAATCCCACTTGCCTGCACTTGACCCATATCCCTCCAAACCTTTTCTATTGATGAATTTATCCAAATGTATTTTACATGTTGTAACTGCATCTACCACTTTATCTGGCAGTTCATTCCACATGCGAGCCACTGTGTAAAAATAAAAGCTGTCCCTCATGTCCCTTATCAATCTTTTTCTTCTCATCTTAATAATATGCCCCCTAGTTTTGAGCTCCCCCGCCTAGGGAAAAGACGCTTGTCATTCACCTTATCTATGTATATCTCAGGTTTTACAAAGCTCAATAAGGTCACCCCTCAATCTCCTACGATCCAGTGAAAAAAGTCCCAGCCTTTCCAGCCTATTTTTAGATCTCAAACCCTCCATTCCCAGCAACATCCTGATAAATCTTTTCTGAACCCTCTCCAGCTTAATAATATCCTTCCTATAACAGGACGACCAGAACTGCACACAGTATTCCTGAAGAGACCTCACCAACATCCTGTACAACCTCAACATGATGTCCCAACTCCTATACTCAAGGGTCTGAGCAATGACAGCAAGTGTGCTAAATGCCTTCTTAACCACCCTGTCTACCTGTGACGCAAATTTCAAAGAATTATGTACCTGAACCCCTAGGTCTCTCTATTCTACAACACAACCCAGCACCCTACCAATAATTGTATAAGCTCTGTCTTTGTTTGTGTTACCAAAATGGAATACTTCGCATTTATCCAAATCAAACTCCATCTGCCACTCCTCAGCCCACTGACCCAATTGATCAAGATCTCTGTGTAATCTTAAATAACTTTCTTTGCTGTCCACTATACTACCAATGTTGGTGTCATCTACAAACTTACTGACATGCCTCCTCTATTCTCATCTAACTCATTTGTATAAATGACAAACAAAAGTGCACCCAGTACGATCCCAGTGGAACATCGCTGGTCACTGGCGTCCAGTCTCTGAGAAACAACCTTCTACCACCACCCTCTGTCTCCTACTGTCAAGCCAATTTTGTATCCAGTTAGTAAGCTCACCCTGCATCCCATGTGCTCTAACTTTACTAATTAGGCTACCATTCAGAACTTTGCCAAAGCAGCTTAATACCCACCCTTCATCGTACACCAGAAACATGGACCATCTATAACAAACACCTCACATCCCTGGAGAGTTATAACCAGCACTGACTTCACAAGATCCTGCAAATACCAGCAGAATAGTACACCAACGCCAGCATCTTCTCGCAGGTCAATATCCCCAGAGAGGCACAGATCACTCACGACCAGCTACGATGGGTAGGCCACATGCCCACGCATGCCTGACTCAAGACTCCTTAAGCAAGTGCTCTATTCTGACTTCCACAATGGTAAGTGATCACTAGGAGGGCAGAGGAAATACTTCAAGGACACCCTGAAAGCATCTCTGAGCAAATGCAACATCCCACTGATATGCAGAAGTTGCTTGCCCTAGAATGCAAACTAGAGAAGAAGCATCCGTGAAGGCACCAACCACTTCAAGTATCACCAAGTGTAGCATGTGGAGGCCAGGCACAAGCAGTGGGAAAGAGTGCACAGAATCCAGTGTTCCAACCACCTGTCTCATCAAACATAAACAGCCCCACCTGCGGCAGAGTCTGCGGCTCCAGGAACATGGTCACCTGCACAGCTCAGCAACTGACTGTTAACCTTGAGGAATTCAAAATATTCACCATTGCCCATTTTTCCACTAAAGTCAATGGCCAATTCATTTATATAGAAACTTTTAGTGACCTTAGACCATCCAAAGCTTCACAGATATTAAAACACTTTTGAACATTAAAGTTGTTGAATAGGCGATAAATGCAGAGGGAATATGACTGTAGCAAGCTCTCTCACACACAGCAATAGGATAATGAACAGATTGTTTACTTTAAAATGAGGCAGGGCAAATATTAACCCAGATATTGGGAAAACTCTCCTCTCCAAGATACACCATAGAGAGAAGAGGAGGGCTTCTACTTATGTTATCTGTATAGCATCTCTTGAGTGGAGGCCTGGACCACATACTACAATTGGGACGTGAACCCACAACCTTCTGATACTGAGGAAAGTGTGCTACCAACTAAGCCAGGTGAAGTTTAACACTCTCCTTAATTCAAACGCCATTTGATTCACCAGTCTGAAATACAATTGATAGTAATAAATGGAGCATTCTTAGAATTATGCATCTGTCCATTATTGGCTTCTATTTGTACAGAATAAGCTATGCAAGAGAAGTAAATGTGGCAGGGCATACAATGAGATTGATCAGCAGACAGGTCAACTGATCTCAACATTTCTGGATCATATGTTTTTGTGTGTGTTAGTGTTCTCCGATTGAGAAGTGTGTGTAAATAAAGATCATGTGAGGAACAAAAGTGGCTTCCAGAATTAGGAGTTTGTTAGCTCCCTGCTACTTGGTTGTCGAACCTCATTGGAGAAGCACGGACATGGGACAAAAGGTAGCAGCAGGGCAGATAGATCACGGCCAGACTGCAACTCCACATCGACTATTTCCAATTTAACTGCACTCTGCCATCAAACCTGTCAATCTATGGACATCAAACCATTCAAACCCAGACTCATCAGCATAGAAAGCAGGCAAAATTGTTTTAAATCAAATTTAATTGCTGGATATAATGAAATGGATAAGGAAATACTGCATCTCAAACAGTTAAAATGTATTAGTTTGATCAGAACTGTCTAGTGACAGTGGGGCGTGTTGTTCCCCAACACTAAGAATCAACATACAACTGTCTGGTTGGTGTGGTATAATGAAAGTGATGATGTCCCTACCTCTGAGCCAGGAGACCTAGATTCAAGTCCCTCCTGCTCCAGAGGTGTATCATTACATGTGTAAACAGGTTGATTAGGAAACCGTCTACAACAGTCGACAGCGCGTCCAGTTACCCTCTGCTTCTCTCTGGTATGCTCCTCTTCAGCCATATCCTCTTTGTCTAAAAGGGGAGGTTCCACTTCACATCCTGCAAACTCGCGGGGGAAGGGGGAAGAAGAGAATAAATAAGTCGCCCTGCTGCGCCTCCTTCTCAGCCAAACGCTTTTGTGAGGGCTCATTCGGGGATTCCCGTCCAAGCAAACCAGGGCCCTGCTCCGTTTTGTCAGCTAACCTGACGGAGGGCCTTGTTTAATTATTTTTGGAGGGAGCAGGGTAGGGGAGGGGTAGATGAATATGCAAGGCCCTGACAACGGGTCCAGGCCAGTCCCACCGCCCGTTGGCATGGACAACCGCAGCACATCTGGCCGCCAGATGGCCGCGCGCGCGCTGCTGCTTCAAACGGCCACACATTCCAAACAGCAACGGTTAGGCACCGTGAGCCTTTCCCGTCGGCCGCAGCTCTTCCTTATCTGCGGCTTTAAATCTCCACAAAGACGGACTTTTAAAAAGCCGGGAGCCCACTTCGCTGCATCCAGTCATTCGTAACGCTCCGACTTTTCTTTTTGCTCCCGAAATCAAGAGCGAGCGTCAGGTTCAGTTCTATTTTTTTTTAACTACTGTTCGTTCGTAGGCTGCGAGCGTCGCTTTAATGTCCACTGACATTTGGTCTGGAGGAGGAGATGATGGCGCACAAAAACAGAATTTGCTGGAAAGGCTCAGCAGGACTGGCAGCATCTGTGGACAGCATTTAGGGTTACCGTTTCAGAAGCGGTCTGAAGAAGGATCACTGAACCCGAAAGGTTAACATTGATTTCTCTCCACAGATGCTGCCAGACCTGCTGAGCATTTTCCAGCAATTTCAATTTTTATTTCTGATTACCAGCATCCGCAGTTCTTTCGGTTTTTACTGCGGCGATGATGACGGTGAGCTTCGTGAACCGCTGTAGGGACATCCACAGAATTGTTAGGAGGAAAATTCTAGTTCAATGGCAGACTTTTATGCTTCCAAGTAAGGGGTTTGAATCTAATTCCAGACAGACTTGATGAATAGAGATCACAGGAGTCCAAATTTCTGGTCTCCTGTGATATAATCACCCACACCACTCAATCATATGGATTCTTGTTTGGGATCTGACTGCCTTATCATGCCTCCACGCTTTTCATAACTCGACCAACCCCATCTTTGTTTGATAACCGTTAACACTCGCTTACTAGAAGTCAACAAAATCCAGTTTAGTTTCAATTTACCCCCAGGCCTCAACAGCTTTTCTGGGGAGAGAATTTTAAACTTCCAATACCCTTAATGTGAAGCAGTGCTTCCTAACCTCTTCCCTGGAATGGATTCAGCTCCGATGTTAAGGTTCTGTTTCCTTCTTCTGAGTTACCCCAACTGAGGGATCAATTCGCCTCTATCATCAATATCAATTACATTACATTAATCGCAATATCTGTTGGGGAGACATTAGCCTAGTGGTATTAATCTAGCAACTCAGAATCTGGGTTAGAATCCTGCCATGGCAGATGGTGGAATTTGGATTCAATATTTTTTTAAAAACTGCATTTAAGAATCTAATGATGTCTGTGAAACTGGTGCTAACTGTCAGGAAAAATTCATCTGGTTTACTAATGTCCTTGAGGGAAGGACATTGCCATCTTTGTCTGGCCTACATGTGATTCCAGACTCTCAAACATGTGGTTGACTCTAAGGGATGAGCAATAAATGCCATGAAAGAATTAAAAAATAAACAGCAGCTGGTGCAATTTCAATTCAATTAATAAACCTGGAATTATACAGATAACCTCAGTAATGGTGACCACAGCAACTATCGTTGATAGTTGTAAAAACCCATCTGGTTTGCTAATGTCCTTCAGGGAAGGAAACCTGACATCTTTACCTGGTGACATCTGATTCCAGACCTAGGCAATAAAGTTCACTTTCCTTTGAAATGGCCTAATAAGCCACTCAGTTCACGGCAATCAGGAAAGGGCAACAAATGGCAGCCTTGCCAGCAATGACCACATTCCATGGAAGAATAACTAAAATACTTCTATTAGATCAACCATCCATCTGCTATATATAAGGCAATACCAGTACAAGTTCAGCTCTCTTCACTGCTCCCTTGCCTGCCCATGCATCATAGTTCAGTGGGCTGTGATTTTCGATGCTGCTGTAATTAGTTTAACAATACTGAGTAGGCCATTTAGGACTGAGATGAGGAGAAATTTCTTCACCCATAGAGTGATGAGCCTGTAGACTCCTCTGTCATAGATGCAGTTGAAGCCAACACTAAATGTTTTCAAGAATGAGTTAGATATAATTCTTAGGACTAAAAAGATCAAAGGGTATAGGGAGAAAGCAGGAAAAGGATACTGAGTTGGACAATCAGCCATGATCATATTAAATGCTGTGGCAGATTTAAAGGGCTAAATAGCCTACTTCTGCTCCAATTTTCTATGTTTGAGTTAGTCACCAAGGGTTAACCAGTGTCCATGATACCATACCACAACCAGGAATCAATGCCTTTGGGTAAAGGGGTGGGTGGCCAGTTGTGAGTAGGTATATTCCTTGCAGCCTCATGTGATCTTCCACTCTAATCACCCCATTTCAGCCAAACGGTTCTTTCTGTTTTATTTATACCCAATAACTGAAAGCAGTTGTACTAAGTTTCTCATGAGGTGCATGTTGCAGGGTTCTGGAGGTGAATCTTTCATTCCTGGGGATGTCCGGATAATTCTGGAGAAGGGAATGGGCAAAGGAAAAGGCCTCCAATATCTAATCGGACCTTTGCTCCAAGATGTATCCTTTGACACCTTTATCCAGAACATCAAGAGGATCCATTTTGGAATTTAGTCAAAAAGGTGTTGTCTTAAGAGGCACAGTGCCATTCCCAAATGTTTTTACTTTTGAAAGACAAGACAAAGATTCAACAACATTTTAAAATGAACTTTTTTAATAATGAAATTGTTCATTGAAACCTTTCCTACCACTATGGTTAATAATTCTTTTATTGCTAATATAGTTTTGAAAGAATGAATAAAGCCTTTAGAATGCCATCAAGGTGGGTTTGATCAATCAATGGCAGGGAACAGATAAGGCTTTAATAAGCTGAATACTCCCTGGCCTTAGTGGAAAAAAAATTGAAGTAATTTCAATTACTCCATCCAGGATTCACAGCTTTTTAAGGAAGAGAATCTTTGACTCTGATTTTCCCATTCTTTTCCTAACTGTGGGGCTGAAAGTGTTAGATGATGACAAACACATTACCCCCATTGCCAAGATGAATCACCAGATCATCCATCTGGACAGCTCATAGGTGAGTTTCTTGCCCTATCAGGTGCCTAGACACTGGTGTGTGGGGTTGCCAGAAGGAACCAAAGGTCCATAGCTTCTCGATGCAAAAGGATGTCGAGGCCTACTTCAGAAGGGTCCAATGATGAAAAGATCGCAGGGATACTGAGGTCAGAGGCAAGGGTAGAGAGTGTAACATTCACAGGCTACCCATTTGCCTACCATCTGCCATAGATAGCATCCTATTCGGCCAGCAGATAGCCACGGTTTCCCAGTCAGGAAACTAACCACCTTTCTTGCCGGCCAGCAAGACATGTGATCAGGCAGGTAGCAATTTAATGCCCTTGAGTGACCACTCAAGTTCCTTATTTGCTGACACATCCAGAAAGTCACACATAGGCCTTCATGTCCAGAAATGTAATTACTGAAGTGGTGAGAAGGGGCGAGTTGCCCTCCAGGCCAAACACACCTAGTTATTTACCCCTCTTGCCACCTTTCACGCCATCTGCAGGGAGCAGCAAATTCTATCTATGATTAATCTTTAGAATTCACCAGCCGAGAAAGCAATGAAGGCTGTGTCACTGAATATATTCAACGTTAAGTTGGATTTTTGGGAATCAAAGTGTATGGGGGAACAAATGGGAAAGTGGAGTTCCAGTGACAATCAGATCAACCACAATCTTACTGAATGGTAGATCTGGCTTGGGGGTCCTGAGCAGTCTATTCCTGCCTCTTGTATTTTTACTTATAATACCAAAATAAATCATAGTGAAGGATTAAATGTGCCTATACGTCAATTAATGTTTCTTCTGTAGTGGGCACAGATACACAGTATTACACCCTGGTAGTAAACATTCACAAATATGTTGTTTCAAAGCCGAGGGAATTAGGCCATGTAAGGAGATTTGCACTGACTGTAGGATTGCCAATCCTCTGTTTTTCCAAGAGTCTTAAATTAACTATTAATCTTTAATGAATTATTAATCTTCACTGCTATCAGTAATTGAGCAGAGTGGACATGAGGTGGGGTGGAGCGCTCATTGTTTTTATTTGAATATTTGTTTAATATAGATATAAATATTCAGGATGATATCCAGTTGAACAGTGAAAAATCTGCTCACTTTCTCATAGACTGTGGGGAGAGGGTGGGGTCATAATGATGATGCATTGGCTGATATATGGTGGGAGGTGGGGTGGTTGAAGACAGGAGGTCATGTGATGTAAACACTTGGACAAGGTCCATCCCAAGTTGGCCCTCATCACCCACCTGTGAGTCTGCTCTGAGCCTGTACCGAATTTGTTGCGACTTTGCTTTTGTGTGACACCCCCATTCATGAATGGGGCCCTCTGAAAACTCCTTCAGTTCTTCAGTATAATGGACTGAATTTGCCTTTGAAATGAAATTGCCTCCACCCCCCACCACCACTTGCACAGAACCCTTTGCCTTATTGCAAGGCAAACAAAAGGAGAGCATTTTAATTCCAATCTGGTTCTCCTTACACACATTAACGACACATCAATGCACAAATACTATAAAGACTCTAAACCAGAAATAGACCTGTGAGGCAAAGGTCATCGCCATGGTCACCTAAAACATTAAATTTTTAAAAAATGCATTTCAATATTCCTAAACCAACACAGAGAAGCATAATCTGAATCCAATTAAAAATCAATGACTCTCAGCACTGACAGACAAAGTCAAAAACTGTAATCAAGCACAGGAAGCCATGGTGAAAAGATTATCATAACAGTGTCAGTCAGGTGGAGTTCTGCATTGTGGCATCTGCTTCAAACAAGAGTAGAAGCAGTGCAAATCTGTTTATCTAAACCACAACCTGATTCATATTTCAATACAGGATGCTTTCAGTAAATATTTAGGCTGCCACATGATGCTTCCTTTGTTGGACCATGCTATTACAAAATTAATGGCTGGATAAATTTAAACACCCTTTAAAATTCTTTTTTTATAATTTTAATTATTCAAGAGATGGCTAGGCCATCACTTATTGCCTATCTTTAAATTCCCTTCAGAAGGTAAAGATAAGCCACCTTCTTGAACTGTAGCAGTTTATTTGGTGTAGGGACATCCCCAATGCTCTTAGGAAGGGAATTCCAGAATTTTGACTAAACAATACCGAAGGAACAGCAATATACTTCCAAGTCAGAATGTTGTGTGCCCTTGGAGGGAGATTTGCAGGTGGTGGTGTTCCCAAGTATGTGCTGCCCTTGTCCTTCTAAATGGCACAGATCGTGAGTTTGGAAGTGCTGTTGAAGGAGCCTTCATCAATGGCTGCAGTGCATCT